AAAGTAGGATTCAGTTTACATAGTGTATAACATGGCAAATAGTTAACATCTCCAAAACTAGGTCTAGTAATCATAAATTTCAACCCACTAGGCAGAATTAACAAAACAAACCAAACAAATCAGCTAACAAAACTGTAGTCATCAGAACTCAAAGAATTTAACTCTTTTGAACTTGAAGATGATGGAAGCGACAACAGTATGCTATAGAAATCCTTAGTGGATTACATTCTCATACCTGCAACCCTGGTCTCCTGAGCACATCAGTGAGAAATAGTAGGACAAGTAAAAAGAAAGTGGAACAAACGTAAAACCACTCACGCTATAAAAGTGTTAAGTAAAAAAAATTATAAAAATATGGTATAGACCCTAATTAAAATTATTATAAATAAAATGGAAACAATCGCCAAAAAATCAAGTTTAAAAGCCCATATAAGTGAGACACAATGACTTTTTAAGGTATGACCAAAATAATGTGTTACTATTAATAAAATAATTTCATCTATGACTAGTTTATCTTTATTTTTAATAAAGTAAACTCAAGAACATCCCTATAAAAAGGTTATGTTCATTCAGCTGTATGTCTACAACCTTCGTGAAAGAGAAAAAAATTGACAGAGCCATAGATTTGCTGTAATTACAAACAAACCACAGATCCTTGTAATCTTCCTAGGAAACGCCACGGACAAACACTGATATTAATAAAAGTTAAAGGGTTATATGTAATGTAATTTTCACGGCTGATGTTGTAAAGTTGACAGTAAATAAAATTTAAGTTAAAATAAGCTAGGCTTTATTAATGCAATGTAAACCACTGATGTAGTGCTGACTACATCGTAACTACAGGATGTAGCATGACTACAGGAAAGCATGCAGCCCCTTGTTTGGGTCCAAATCAACTCTGTGAATCTAAACAAAAGAAAAATCCACCCCAATTACAGCAGGGACTAAAAATGCTACCTTTCAAGTATTTCATGTGATACTGCACTAGTAAATTCCTGGTTCCTCAGGTCACTTTTTAAATATTAAACCCAATGGCCTCTTTTCAGCCTTTATTCTATTTGCCTTCACCATGCAACTCCTAACATAGTGGAACATTTCCTCTTACTGTCCCCTTAGCTTCGTTTTTAACCTTCCTCTGGTTTCCAACCCCTCTGAGCACTCTCTCCCTACCTAGGTCTTCTTCCATTCACACCTTAAATGCAGGGACTTGTCTACACTGCCTTCTCTTCTAACAAGAAAAGTTCTCCCTGGATGATTTCATCCACTCCTGTGCTTTGATTACTACCTACAATTATAAATGTTGATGCCCTAATCTCTGTATCAGCCGAACATGCATTTTCTTTCGAAGCTCTCCTGGTTCCTACACACTTTGCCTGAAGAGCTCCCCTTTCCTCCCTCTGGGAAATACCTTTTCAGGCTTTAAGACTTAAAATGTCACCACTTCAGTAAAACTTTCACCAGCTTTTCCAAATAGTGTTAGTTAATATTCTCATTTAGAAACTATTTCAACTATACCATCTTATGAGAATCTCACCAAATAGGCAAGCATTATCATACCCTTTGTAAAAATAAGGATGCTGAAGTTTGAAGAGATAAAGCCACTTGAACGGGCAACATTACAAGTGAAAACAATTAACTTAAATCTAGATCTTCCCTAGGACCAACGCTCTAAACCACTGAGATGCTCTCAAAAGGAGAGAGATTAGATAACTTAATAGTCTTACTAGTCTTAAGAAAAATTCATTAGTCTTATGCATTTCTTTCTAGAAATTAATTCCTAAATAAATGTTTAATCCAGAAATAAAATTATTAAAATTATTTTTAAATTTAACACATAGCCAAGTGATAAAAATAAAAAAGGAGTTTAACTGTTTAAGACAAAGAAGGAAAATGATTTAGGAAACTAAAAGAAATAAAAATTTACAACAGTATCAAAAGAAAGAAATACCAAAAAAATTAATTCTTCACACTTTAAACGAAGAAACTGAAAACCATGAAGCCAATATTCTAACACACAGGGCTGGTTAACCAATAAATGATGTATAGGATCTTTCATAAAACCATCTAAATCTCCCTAATTCTGGTTTTGTTTAAGGAGGGAAGGGGAGAAATAAGATTAATAAATGAGATTAAATTCTGAAAACAAAACCATCAATAATCCTGTGACCAGGAAGTGATTAGGCATCTTGGAAATGAGCAGTGAAGCATCAAAGGACACACTGCCCTAGAACCAGAGGCCAAAGAGAACACTGGAGGGGGTCAGAGAGTTGAAACTACCATTTTGCAGCCATTGTGGCAAAGACTGGTTGAGAAGATTCATCAGATACAGGGGGTGGTAATTTAATAAGAAGCAGGACATCTGCATGGTCTCAAAGGGTCTTCCCCATAGATAAATTACTGAAAAAATAAAATAGCTGGACAATAATCATGAAGATGGGCATCCTACGTCTCCGGATGCAATAGTCTGAGAAGGCCACACATCACCTATGGTAGTACTATGGCCAAGGACACATAACATGAATCTAAAGAGGAAACACCACTAACATTGATTTCCGAGCTATAAAGTAATTGGCTTACATTCTTCAAACCCCAAAGTAGTGAAAAACAAAGGCTAAGGAACTAGACCAGAGTAAAGAAGATTAAAGAGATTAGACAAATAAATGAAATACAGGCCCCCAGATAAAATTCTGTACTAGAGGGGGGAAAAAAGGCTAAAATACAAATTATTTCTTGGAACAAATGACAACACTGGATTACCAACTGTAAAATGTACTGATGTTAAATTTCCTGAATATAACAGTATGTAGTTGTGTATCTTTAGTCTTAAAACACACACACACACACACACACACACACACTAAGGTATTAAGAATAAAGGGACATGATGTATACAACCTAGTCTCCAAAGGTTCAGAACACATAATGTGAATGTGTATATGTGTCTGTGTGCATAGGGAGGGGGAGAAACAGAGAAATAAAGCAATGTAGCAATTTTTAAACTTGTTGAGTTTGCATAGGGAGTAGTTATCTGTACTAGCAACTTTTTGTAAATTTGAAACCATTTCTGAGTAAACCATCAAAAACTAGAGTGAAAAAAACAGGGTAAGCTTTTAAATTTTTTTACATATATTTTGTTATTTTTAAGCAAAAAATATCACCAATTTTTAAATGAGTGAATATAGGCTCAAAAAAAGATTAACTGACCACTTCCAGAACAAGAGTCTACTTGTTTCTTATACAACCCCATTATGTTACAGTTCAATGGCCAAACTGTTTCTAATTCCTGGTAACTTCAAGGTCTACACTGTCTACAGCTACTACTCAAAACTTTAAACTTTTAACGAGTTGCATGCATTCTCTAATAAAAGCACCATAAATTTCATCAAGTATAAAGCAGTATAACAAAGTGCTTGAAAGAATGAGCTCTTAGGGTATCTGGGTTCAAATTTAAACAGTACAGTGTTGTAGCTTGTATGTGTATTAGATGTTGGACAAATTAATCACTTGTACTCCAATTTCCTAACTGGCAAAGTGGGATCAGTATCCAGTAACAAGCAATAGGATTGTTAGGAGCACTGAATGAGATAATAAAGGTAAAGTATTGCGCGTAAATGTGCAAGCGCTAAATAAATGTTAGCTATTTTCATTCATTCAATTTTTTTAGCTATTTTTATTTTAAATCCAACCTGTTTAGTCACCTCAACAACACTGGTCATAGTCAAACCCATAGATCTTTTTTTTTCCAAATCAGACCCAAATGAGACAAAATAGAAAATCAGAGCTCAAAGAGAAAAACATGTTAAATGTTCACAAGCCATAAGTGATTAATTGTAAGCAAATCACATGCAAGACAGAAACAAACTTACAGGTTAACTCAACAGCTGAAACCTTTTGCTAATAAAACTGAAGAGCTGCAACAAGTTCCTTGTTAGAACAATAATACATCATTTAAGTGCACAGAATGAAAAATGAAAAGAAATTTTCTTACTTTTAAACTCCTCTAACCTGAGAATAAGGTGGAAAAAAATTATTCTACAAGCTGTACATAAGATTTCAATCCGCTTAAAAGAGTCAAAATGTCACCCAAATTTCAACTACTATAGGACTTTAGAGACTGCCCTATCTTGTTAGAAAATTTTAAATTAAAATTTACCGCTATACCCTTCTGACAACCGTCAAAGTCACAAGCATAGGTACTTTAATTTAGCATCTAGTGACAGCCTAACATGTGGCCATAGTGTGTAGTACTGAAAGATTAAAAATAAGTGTAAAAATGATTACAGTAAAATATACAGTTACTGTGATTCTACATGTTTAAACCCTTCTCCCAAAATAAAACAATTTGGGACTGTTTTCTTCCCATTTTTCGGTGGTAACTGAATAACTTTTACTAACTTTTAAAAAACAGTGTACATTTGTTTTTAATAACTAAATACTCTCTACTCATATGCTTATTATTGTTTGAGATGGGGAGTAGTCTGTAATGCAAAAGAAACTGCCCTAGAACATTAATGTCTGTGTAAACCAGTGTGTCTGTTCATTAAGCGCCGGAACACTTCCTTGCTCCTGCTCTTCAACTGTCTCGGAAAAGCAACACTCACACTCCAAACTTCCCTCTCAACCCCCACTCTTTCAGCCTACTGTGTAAATTTCTCCGAGTCTGATCCAACAACCATTAAATTTGCCAGAAGCGTACGTTCAGATTTAAGATTCCCGTGTCCCAGACCAACTCAATCAGAGTCTTTGGGGATGGAACTTAAGTTCTCCAAATGGTTCTTCTTCACCAAAGTTGAAGACGACGAGAGACCCCTACACACTGTCTCCGCAACTCCCCAACCACTCCCACTACTCCCAGCTGTGACCCTACCCCACCCACCGGCAGGATACTAACCCCCCGGCAGTCTCCGGGCCACCCGACTCCTCTCCGGGAGCCCTTGCCCGCTCCTCTGGGGTCCCCAGCTCCCCGATCCCTTCCCCGCACCCCAAACCTTTATCCTCACTTCTTCAGATCGCTGCTAAAGAGGCCGAAAGCACCGGAGGGGGAAATGGTTGAGGTCGCCTCCTGACCCAGCTCTGTTGCCTCCCCTCCCGCGGAATGCTCATTATAAGCGAAGCTGTTGCTGGTCATTGCTGCGGCGCTGGCGAGGGTCTGCGTAGTTCTGCGGGGCGTTCTCCCGGAGAAGCTCCTTTCCGTAGGACACGGAACAAAACTAGTTCTTGTGCGGAGGGGCGCGCGCAGGCGCTTCCGGACTCGTCACGGTTCCCCGAGCCGACGGGGCGGCCCACCCCCTGCGCATGCCCAGTGTGCAAGACGGCCGGAGCCCACCGCTGGCCCCTCCAGGGCCGACCTGGATCTTCCTTCTCCGGGTTTTTGAGGTAGCTGAGAGTCTCAGACCCTGCGGGTGCGCTGGGAGGACGTTGCGTTTGCAGAGGGCTGGAGTCCGGACTTTTAAAGTTTCATAAAAGGGAGGTACCCATTGTACCCATTTTGATCTGTTAAAGGAGGTTCCCAGAGCCCCAACACCTCTTTGTTTGGCTCCTGCTGTAAACCAGAAGCTTTCGTATTTCTTCTGAAACGCCATTTAACACGACCCATCAACTTTCCTAAACACATCACGATCCCTTTCCCTTTCGGGGCTGGTTTCTCCCCACTCCGCACCACCCCCCACCGCGGCTGCCTCCAGCCAGCGTGGCACTGCTTCCACAGCCACCCCCACACAACCTTTATCCCCTAGTTTTCCGCTTTTATGAAAACTCTCTCTCCCCTGCGTTTTGTAAGACGAGCGTGACTGGTATCCAAGCCTGAATTTTTTTAATACAAAAGTTATAGACTTTCTAATTAAAATACTAAAAAATATGAAATGCAAACATTAAAATTACCCAGTAGCTTTTACACAATTAAAGAATTTTAACATTAATAAACGTATTATACTTATATAACTACATATACATATAGCTATTGTAAATTAATAACACTATCAGCTTTCTGATTTAAAGAAATATTTAGCAACCTGGAAACACTCTTACTGTGTCTATGCCTATGCCAAAAGGTATATATGTTATGTTAAAATACCTCCACAAAATATACAAAGTAAAACATATTTAATAGTGAAACACTAAGGGCATTCCTCCTAAAGTCAGAAAAAGGACAAATATGCCTATTAACACCATTATTATTGAACATTGTTTTATGGGTTCTAGTTAATGCAATAGAACAAGAAAAAAGTGGTGAAAAAGAAGAGAGAGGTTATAATATTTACAGATATGATTGTCTTGTCGCACAACCTAAAATTATTAGACATTTAAGTTGATTCAGCAGAATAGCCAGATTCAAAACCCAACAACACTCTTACACATTGATAATATCTAATTAGAAATGTAATTTTTAAAAGATCCCATAGACAAAACAGATAAGCTTTTAGAAATGTATAAAACCTAAGTGAAGAAAAACCATAAAACTTTATAGCTTAAATGTGGAGTATGGAGGAGAAGACCTAAAAGGACAGTATATATTTCTAGATAGGAATATTCAAGTAAATCTATATATGTCATGAAGTTACAGGAAAAATTCTCACTTTTTTAGACAAATTGAACCTAAGTTCTCTGGGAGGAATAAATGTAACGTAAAGCAAAAAAAATGTTTTTGAAGAAAAAGCCTGATGAAGAAATTACCCTACTAGTCATTTAAACTATAGAGATACTGTAATTTTAAAGTTTGGTATCATTCTCAAGAGTAGATAGAGTGGTACAATAGGATAGAAACCAACTCAGATACACACAAGTATCGACATATGTCAAACGTAACATTTCAGATCGCTTAGGAAATAATATATTAATAAATGATACTAGGACGATTAATTAGTTAACTATGTGGCAAAAAATAAAGTTAGATCTCTGTATTACCATATTTTGCCATATATAATGTGCATCCATGTTTTTGGCCCAAGCTTGCAGGAAAATAATCTTTCATTTTAATTTTTAATTCAATTTTTATTTATTTATATTTAGATACCTGTCTTTTGTATTATTAAGGAATTTTAGCATTTATTTTTTAATATATTATGGTAAACAAATAGTATGTAACAAATAATTACAAAACACAACAACAGATGCAAGGTATTCCAGGTACTACCCATTTATAATTCACATCCTTATTTTTCCCTCAAAAAATTTGGGCCAAAAATGCTCATTATGCATGGCAAAATATGGTAGTTCCCAATGACTGCTGTAACAAATTTCCATAAATTTAGTGGCTTAAAACAGCAAAAATCTATTCTCTTAAAATTCTAGAGTCCAGAAGTTTGAAATTAAAGTGCACAATCTAAGGTACCAGCAGGGCCACTTTTTCCAGAACCTCTAGGAGAGAGGCAGTTCCTTGCCATTTCTTGCTTCTAGAGCTGTATATTTGTATTCCTTGCATTCATTGGCTTTTGGCCCCTTTCTTCTATCCTTTAAAACCAATTGCATAACACCTTGAAATCTCTGCTCTGTCTTCATATTGCTTAGCCCCAATCTGTGTCAAACCTCCTCTGTCCCCCTCTTGTCAGGATACATGTGAAAATATTTAGGGCCCACCCCCAAAATTTAGGATAATCTTCCCATCTCAAAATCCTTAATTTAATTGCAAAGTCACTTTTGCCATATGTATTCACCCTTTCCAGGAATTAGGATTTGGGTATAAATTGGGGGGTGGTGGGAAGGTGGTCATTCAGCCTCCCACAATCTCTAACTCATACAATACCTATAGGAAAATTCCAAATCAATTAAAAGTAAACCACAAAAACACTGAATGAATTTCAGGAAAATATTTTCAGGTTTGAGGGGTCTGCATGTTGAGGATTGTGACAACAAGGAAAAAACAACAACCTCTCAGCGTAAATCTAGGCTAGAAACATTAAACAAATACTGGTAAAACAAATTCTGTATAAACAGTTTTATCAGTCTTTACAGTCAGAAAATTACTCTTCATATGGTTTTTTATAGAATTTAAATTTTACAGGTTAGTGAAGAGAGAAGCTTCAAATTTCAGTGTTTTCTGTATTCATTTGAATTTATTATTTTAAGGAATAAAGCTACTCTTATTTTTTAAATATTTAAATTTGAATTATAAGTAAAATGATAATATGCTTTCTAATAAATATGAGTGTCCATTCGTGAAGCTCTTTAAAAATTTGATGCTTCAAGGGAAGTAATTTATATGCACTTACCATGGTCCTAATTAATCGGGCCCTCCTTTACCTCTTTTCATTTCATCGTGACCCATTCTGCCCAGGTTTACTATACTCCGGGGAGTCTGGCCTTTCTGTTTCTTGATCCATCAAGCTTGTTATGACTTGAGAGACTTTACTTACCGAGCTCTCTGCCAGCACCCTTCTTCCAAAGAGTCTTCAAAGGCCTGGCTCCTTCAGCTTTATTGAGGCTTTATTCTATTCATCTCTATTCATCTTAACTCAAAAAATATCACCTATTCAGAGAGGTCTTGCACAACACCCAATCTACTATAACACCTCTTCCTGATCCCCACCCCCAATGGCTACAGAATTGATTTTTTCAGCTGATCTGTTTAGGTACCTGTGGGTCACTCTCTGATACATATTTCTCTGGAAGCTTTGTGATGCATAAAAAAGGACAGTTTTTCTAGATAAAATACAAAGTTTCTTTTGCAAAAAAACATGAGCCCCTGTGCCCTCCTGTTTAAAGAAACCTCATAATTCATTATTTTGGCACACGAAGAACTCTTCTGTAATGGAATTTGTGCAATCCTCCAATTTACTACACATGTGGATTTTCATACTTTGGGTTTTCTAGAATGGTACACATCTGCAAATGTATGCCTTAAAAATGCCATAACCTCATTATTATATTTTATAAGGAAACTGATCTACAAAAATTCAATGTGGTTAACCCTTCATTAGATAGTGACATATGTCTATTTGAACTGATGATTTAGGAATAAAGAGAGACTATATTACTAAATATGACAAAGAAAATATTTTAAGCCATTTTTATGTAACTCTCTTATTTTATTAAGAATTTAGATGGCTTCACCTTGGCCAGTTGGTTGGAGCAACATCCTGTACACCAAAAGGCTGCAGGTTTGCTTGCCAGTCGGGGCACACACCGGGGTTGTGGGTTCCATCTCCAGTTGGGGCACATTTGGGAGGCAGCCAGTTGATGATGCTTCTCTCTCACATCAATGCTTCTTTCTCTCTCTCCTTCCCCCTTCCTGTCTTTCTATAATCAATAAACATATCCTCAGGTGAGAGGTTTTTTTTAAAAAAATAAGATTTTAGATAGCTTTTATCTCAGAAGCAAAGGCTTGAGTTGTTATAATAGTGTCGTTACACTTTTTCCTCATATTCCCCATATAAAACACTGAATATTCATTCAGTCCTGGGTTTTGAAAGAAGCTTAAATAGCTAGGGAATGTCCTTGGCAAAGCCAAGCACTACTGGAAATGTCTTCTTTTGTGTCCTCTCCAGCATCTTCATTTAACAGGTGAAAAGAAGGCTGAGGAACTGGGCCTCAGAAACCTGTCCAAATGCACACAGCTAACAAAGAACAGAGCTGCTCTTAGAACTGAGACCAAACTCTGGGGTCCACACTTACAGTTACTCTGCTGTACCACCTCTTCACGTACTTAATACTATATCTTACAGGTTGTCTTATATCAATGTATACAAAACTTATTTGTTCTTTTTTATAGTTGCATAGTATTCCACTTTATGACTATATCATAACTCATTAAACTAGCCCTCTAATGATGGCTTTTGACTTTTTTTAATTTTTAGCTATCACAAGTTATGCTTTCATAAATAACTTGATAGTAATATATTTTGTATAGTAGTATATTGTTACTTATGACTCTCTGCAAGGCAAGTCTAAGACTATTAGAGGACCCTAAAGAAGCACCACCCCCCACTTACTGCATCACTCCTCATAGATACGAGGGAGATTTACTAAGTGCAATGAGAAGAGAAAACAATTGTGAGCAAAGTGATAAAAGAAATCACAGAGAAAACAACAACATCTGAACTAGATCTTAAAGTATGGAAAAGTTAATGTATGCAGGTAAATGACATACATATAGGCTTCACAGTAATGAAAGAATTGGAGGCATTTTCATACACATTAGGATAATACAATAATTCTGTATTTTAAGTGAATGTAAAAGTCTTAAAGGCTTAAAATTGAACAATATAGCTTTTGAGGTTAATAGTTAAAGGGTATCAAAAGG